AGCCGGTGCCAGGTCTCTGTGACACTACATTCACTGGGAATAGATAATGAGAATCTTCTTCGGCGTCTGTGCAGAGCTCTCGCTGCTACTTTATCCACCTTTTTTGCAAAAATCACACAACCCCAGAACAAATGGGATTAACCAAACTCTGGTTTACTCCATGAACCAGCACCTTCAGTGTGCTTGTAAAAATCTACTAAAACTGTGCATGTGAATTTCTCAGTGGCACCTTTCTGCATTGGTAGACCTTTTAAAGTGCTTTTGTTCAGGTGATGTAATTGTTTCACGTGCTTTGTATAAGCATGTTGTCTTCTATATCCTACAGCTGTGAATACATGTTGAAATATTAGTTGTTGCCTTAAGGAGGAGAAGAGTTTAGAAGTATACTTGTAGTACAGTTCTTGATCTCGAATGATATATGTATACGAGTGTGCTTAACCTCGACCTCTTGTGTGTTCTTCATTCCCGTGTGTGTGTTTTTCCAGGTGGTGAGCAACAGAGACACTCAGGAAACGTTGCTGTGTATGGCGTGTGTGTTCGAGGTGTCCAACAACGAGCACGGAGCACAGCACCACATCTATCGACTCATCAAGGAATAACACACACACATATACACACTCGCGTTGAAACACATGTATGGCCTTTGCTTGGTGTTTTTTTTTTTCCTTTTTTGTGACATCGGAGCTAAAAATGTCTCTAAAAATTAGTTTTAGCCAAACAAATTCGTGAAAAAAAAGAAAAAGGCTGCATTTTCACTGAAAGTAACTGGGGTAAAAAAAAATTTTTTTTAATTAACGCCAGATGTGACACCGCAGAAACCTCCTCAACAGGAGCATATCCACACTAACTGCAAACCTGGTGATCGGTAGCTCATTAGCTATAATGATAATAAAAAAAAGCACAGTGGTAGTGCAGCCATAAAAACACATCAGAATCGACCTGGCGCATTTCCCCAAGAACATCCTGACTCTGATATCACCAGGGGATGTCACGTCTCCACTAATTGGATCCTTCTTCTCTTTCTCCCAGTTTTTTTTCTCTTTTCTGTCTTTTTTTTTCTCTTTCCTATCTTGATGATGGAAATGAAAGTGGTGTTTCTGTCACGAGTTTTGGTGAAAGTCGACCCAGGGAGAAGAAAGAAAGAGAGGGGGAGATAAAAAAACAACAAAAAACAGAGAGAGTGAGATCTCATAATTTCCCCCCCGTGTGTTATCTGTCAGGAAACTGACAGGCGCTGAAGGTCAGACCCTGTGTATCATCAATAAGCAGAGAAAGCTGGAGGAAATAACACTACTGCATTATCATATAGTAGAATATAGAGGTGGATTTGTACAGATGGACACTGCAAATTGTGTGAGCTGAATTCTTATACAAGAGGTTTGTCCCAAAGAAAAAGAAATCAAATTTTTACCTTTTTGTATGTTTTCTTTACAAAAAAAAGAAAAGAAAAAAATCTTCTAAACTTTGGGGAGTTGTTTATTGATAATAGCATAGAGATTCTATTTTAATTCCACAATCACTATCTAAACCTTATGTTAATAATAAGAAACTATAAGTGAAATTGAACAATTCAGGTAGCTTTTTTTGTGCAACAGGTGACTCTTTATTTTGCTTAAAAGACTAACAAAATTATAATCCTCAAGATTTCAGAATCCTGTTTTGTGGGCTTTTATTGTGAAGCAGCAGCTGTAGGAAACGCCAGCTCTGTGGGAGAACGGCAAACGGTGAAACTGACGTCACTGAGACGTCATTAGAAATGCTAAAACTGGATTCCATAAACAGATTCAACGTGGAATTGCAGGCTTCATCCCAAAACTGTGACAGCTGTCACACAGAGGGGTGATTAACAGGTCGAAATGTGATTACAAACTATGATCAACTATTAATATGAGTTTGCAGATCTTAAGGATTATAATCTGAAGCAGACTCTGGTCTACTGAAAAGCACTGTGAATTTTAAACCTTATACATTGCCATTCATGGTGTACACGTAGGGAAAAAAGTTTTACTGCTGTTTTTATCGTGTAAATTACTTTTGCAACTTAAAGGGGACCTATTGTGTTCATTTCCAAATTTTCATTCTTTTAGTCTCCTAGAGTAGCTTTGCATGCGTCACAGTTCAAAATAATCCTCCTTTATCTTATTTTGGTCCTTGATGTAGCCCTTCAGTTCATTCAATGTCTGAGTCAGCCTCCCATTATTAAACCCAACTTCTTCTAATTGGCCACTACCTGCAAACAGAAGGCTCAGCAGGTAGGCGGGGCTTTTGTACACAGAGGTTTTTTTTTGTTTTTGTTGTTGTTTTTTTTGCTATCTGAAGCAGAAACCTGAGCTTTTGGTTCACAGGGATTACTTATACATTCCCGGACATATTATTTAAAATGTTGGCCTAGTTTATTCCAAGTGTCCACAATTTTAACTTTATATATGATGGAAAACAAGGAAAAGTATAATAAGTCCCCTTTAATGTTATCTTAGGTAAGTGTGATGACCATGCCCATACTAGCAAGCCTGAATATTACATCCATATTTAGATGGGACAGCCCTGACCAGAAGCATTCTCACCTCAGTGTCAGGGTTATTTTAACTTTAGATGACACAGTTCCCCTCAACCACTACAACACAGGTTTTTCTGGTTATATAATATTTAAAAAGTAATTTATGAATTTTAAAAAACCAAAAACTCTTGATGGAGTGTACTGTAGCAGGTGTCGTCTGGTGGTTTGTCTGTGTCATGCCCAGCAGCATGAAGTGCCTTTGGCTGGAAACAGCATTAGACATTTCTATTGTGTTTCCCAAAAGTCCTGATAATTTGATGTTGTAGGTGGTGCATGGGACAAAAAAACAAAAACATTTTATTGTACAGGAACATTTTGGTCCCACATGCCCCTGTTTTCTGTGTCCTGGGATTAGTTTATCCAAATTCCATGTAAAAGTGGTTCTTTAATTTAATTTGTGGACAGTCCTGATTAATTTTTTCAATTTTTTCTGATGTCTTTGGGATAAATTCTTGTTCATGTGGTATCTATTGGCAGTATTTATTCCATGTATTTGCATTTGTTTATTACATGTATGACGGATTCATGTAGAGAGAGCTTGTGCACTAGATATTACCTGGCGCCTCGTTCATAAAATGCAATTGTTTGGACTTGTCACTGTTTGGACGACCTGCTCTTACAAACCTGCTGTAGAATCATTTTGATTATCTGTTTTATATAGAAGCTGTTAAAAGTAGTGGATGCCATCAATTAACTTTTTACAACTTTAATATCTCTGTCTGATACAGCTACAGCTAGCAGGTTAGCTTAGCTTAGCATAGCAATGAAAGCAAGTG